CTTGGCTGTCCCCCGGTGAACCTGTAGAGCAGATTGCACCTCTCTGCCAGATGGGTAGAGCAGCAGTGAGGGGATTCTCCGTCTTATTTTACCGCCGTTGTTTTTGCTGCACGGAGGACTAATAGACAATGCGAGAGTGAACGTGATCTTTGGTACTGTAAGCTTAGTAGCAGATGTGGATCCTTATGGGTTAATCTTTAAGGTCTTGCATGTTCTTAATCTCCATATCTATTACGCCGTGGACATCTGGGATATTCTGGGTGATGTTTAGTGGCGTCAGGAGCCTATAGATGAATCTGCTCTAAACACAACTATGCACTGAATGCTTGTCTCAGGACTCCGTTTTTCCATCCTTCTGCTTTTGTTATTAAATCCAGATCTAGAGTTTGAATTATATGTTTTTCATGCAAAGCAGCAGCTGTGTTCAATCGTCAAGGCAACTCATTTTACTGACATGCCAATGAGAGAATTGAGGAAAGACACAAAAGGTACGTAATCTGTCCAAGAAATTAAGATGCCATGTTGCCTAATTTAGCCACCAAATCAACCAAAGAATCATTAAATAAATGATATTGAAAGAAAACAAAAGAAGATCTTTGTTTATTTGAAAGAACGGGGCAGAGCAGTTTGAGCATAAAACTATAATTCAATTTCCGAGCTTTCTCTTCCGGCAGAGGCAAAAGCTTTGAATGCTTAATAAATTCTTCGGAGGGCTAAATTGCACACTTGTTTCATCTGGCAATGAGATTACTTGAATGGAATATTCTGGAGGAAAAAAAAGCAGTGGAGAGAAAGACAATAATGAGGCAGTAATCTCATTTCTCCACAGCAGCTTCCATTGTTCTCTTTAAAAAAGTTAAAAAAAAAAGAGGCTTCTGTTTCGTCTGCTTCAACTCTCATTCCCATCCGTCTTTCCATTGAGGAAAATGTTCGCAGAGCCAAGGATAAATGAGAACAATAACATTTCTGCGGCACTCGAATGCATCAAACGCAGATAGGAGGGAAGCACTATTGTGTCCCTGTGGCTCTTTGGACAATCACTAGATAGCAGTGAGTACGGTTATGAGCTTACAAACGCATCACTCTCCATGAAAACTTCTTAAACAACTTCCTCTGAGTAAGCTCAACTTTGGGTGACTTCGTTCAATCTTTAGACAACTTTCGAAACGTTGAGACTAAAACATATCAATTAACACCCAGAGTCTTTTCCCTGTGACGATGGCCCCTGTAAGTGGGGAATCATCAGCGAGGGCCAGCAGGGGTTAATCTCCCTTTTTGAAGATTATGCTTGGCTTTCCAGTCGCCTGGCCCAGACACCCTCTTCTTATCCAGCACTGCAGGCTTTTGATAGCTCCCACAGAGAGTCCTTATTATAGGGACTGATTCAAACTCAGAGAGAGAAACAAATCAGAAAATGACAGAAGAGAAGGAAGGGCAAGTGAGGGAATTAAAAAATGGCTCCTAATTCAGACTCAGGAGACTCAAATTCGAAGTCGCTGAATTTAATTACATCTCAATCTAATGATTAGACCTGAATGTGGCTATTCAACACACATCTCATTGCTGTACTTGATCTTGTGTCAAACTAATAGGCCTAAAATCTGTCCAGAAATTGCAAAAGTCCAACACATTTACTACATAATCAATCAATCACAACCCTGCATTTCTAGTTTGGCTGCACAGTATATCGATAAAATGTCAATATGGGAGTAGAATTCGTTTTATGTTACGGAAGTGAACAAATGAGTCCGATGGCGGTGTTACAGGGAAGGGAACTTTTGGATTTTAGCCTATGCAAACCATTTACATGCAAAAGAAACGACATAACACACTACAGGAAAGGGAAAACACCAAAAAGCATAATAGGGCCTCTTTAATGGTCAACTCTGAAATATCCATAACAAGGTATTTGATCAAATATATTGTGACATTTGATTTTCTTCATATCGCTCAGCTATAATTTCTAGTTAAGCACCGTTTCATTATCCTAAACCAGGGGTGTCCAAACTACGGCCCAGGGGCCAACTGCGGCCCTTAGCAAATTCAAAAAGATGCTTTTTTTACAGTATATTGTACTTCTTAAATATATATCCAATTGACAAGGAAACTCATATAGTGACTGTCACAGCTGTAAAAGAACAAACTTTAATCTTGCTTTATAATGTAGCAGCCCTCCATTGAGAATAAAAATAACACCAGTCTTATCTGGCATTAGCTGTTTACAATCCACCATCTTTTGTAAAGCTCTCATCGTGCCGTCAGCCCTCTCAATCATTCCTCCCGGATACTGCGATACTGAATAATCTCTGGGATAAAATCTACACATGGCCGCGTTCCTCCCAAAAAACATGACATGAATAATTCACTACCATCTGCCGTGGCTCAGCGGTCTGAATCAGTCTCTGAAAAGTGAGGAGGTGCGATTCTTGTGTTTATTTAAAAAACCAACTCCTTGCAGAAGCGGCGGCGGCGGCCCCCACCCTGTACCTCAACACTGCAACTGACGGAGAGACACAACAGCTCCCCTGCTCCATACATACCAAGCCCCTAATCTCAAAACCTACAAGTTAAAGTAATGCGTTTTCTTTTGTGCACAGTCCTCACCCTTACTTGGCTCTGCTCTTTCTGTTTGGATGAAAACACACATGGAAATGGAAGTAAACAAACCGTGATAGCAGAATTATCCAAAGGGATATTCAGCAATCTAACTCAATCTACATCCACTGGGGGGAAAATGTGTTTTTTGGGTCTCACTCGGCAAACACACATTCTCTACAGGCTATTAGCTCAAAGCCAGCATCTGTATCGTCCTGAATAGAGTGGTGCGGGAATGAGCCCTTAAACCCGGAAATTAGTCTGCTTTTTACCACTTCTGGTTCCCTTGTCTGCAAGTCAACAGTTATTTGAATGCGTTTTTGATCGGATGCCAGAATTAATGTCTGTGGTTTACACAAGCTTAAGAGATTTTCACGTTGTGTTCTACGATATAAAATACGTCCACGTCCAGTAAATACACCACTAATTAATGCTAGAAGCTTCCATGTGTCCCAAAAACGCTGGTTGCAACAAGTTACTAAATGAGACTACTTAACGTCATCAAAACGAACCTTGCATGCTTTAAGCTTAGCAGTGGAGAAATTAAGTCATGTGACTGCGATGTAGTGTGTTTGCAGCATTACTTTAGCTATTTACTTCTGGCGTTGCATTTACACTCCAAAGATTATACAATGGTGTTAATAAGAGCACAAAATGTGTAAGTATCAGAATTGTTTGTTTCCCACGGAACAGTTTTTCTGCGATATTCTGTAATCCAATAGAGAAATCCCACTATTTGTTGTCAAAGAAGCTTTGCGATGCTAACTTCCGGGACGTTCTACGAATATATGCAATTGTGCACCACTCTATAAGAAAGGATGGCGGTTGGGATCACTCCAAGGAGTAAAATACCAACTAAGACTATGCCAACCCTTCTAAACCCAGCATGAGCTTTCTCTGGTCTGACTGTACAGGCCTCAGATGGGTTTAACAAGCTATAGAGGCCTCCAGCAGCAGACGGCCCCTCTCTCTGTTTGTGTTCCAGGCAGGGGAGTCGCTCTGCATGACGATTTATTGACGCAAGATCCCCCCTCCTCAGCCAGGACCTGCCACCGATTACTGCCTCTGGAGAGCCGAGGGGAGGGTCTTGTTGGGATGAGAGAGTTTGTCTGTGTGTGTGTTCTAGCTCGGGCTCCAAGGCCATAAACTGGGCTCCAAAATGCCAAGTAGCATGTCAACATGCCAGCCTTTGCCACCCAAGTATAAGTCGGACAAAAAGGCCCCTTCAGTGCTCCAAAATGGTGGTTTGGAGAATGGGAAATGATGATCTGTCATATATGGAAAAGGGCTTAGCAATACTGCACAGACAGGAGGGCGACAAGGGGGAAATTAACTGCTAACAGGAGTTGAAATTGAGGAGTGAAAGCTTCATTCTTAATTTCAGAGCTCTTCGAGGGGAAAAGTCTGGCAGTCGGAATGTTTTGGCTTAGGACAACATGTCAACAGAACTAAGCTTCACCTATTTTGGTGATTCAGTTGGGAAATGGAAAGTTTGGCTTTATTATTTATCATAAGAAATCGGTTTTCAAAGAGTGGGATTATATTTATCCATCAACTGACATATGTTGAATGAGTATAAAAAGGCTCCCTCCCTTATTGAAAGAGTCCAAATGCTGTTATCACGCCGTGGATTCAGTTCATTATTTAAAGCGCTTCATAAGTGGATTCTTGGTCACAGAAGTCAGATGACTTCCTATAAAATACCAAGGAAATTAAAATTGCATACCTCAGATCTGATGACAGTAAAGTTATAGTCCTACACTACACTGCACGTTATTTTAAAAATATCCTAAAGCTTGGAAAGGATTTGAGTAAGTGGAAAATAAAATAAAAAGGAAATACTGTCCCGCTCCAATGTTCCGCTTACATAATGTATTGAAGAAGAAAACAGTCCTGAGACATCCATTCTGACGCAAACCATTTTGGCTGGGACATCACCGTGTCTCTACTCACAGCTCCAAAGAAAAGAGGGTGATGCCAACAACCCACATAGTGACACACAGGACAAACAGCACCACAACAATTAATCAATGGATGTGACGTCATTGCGATGAATTTGACCAGGACAGCCAAAGCATGATGGGTAAAGGAAGGACACAATTGGCCTTTTGTCCACTTTGGTCTGCAGTTTAGGAAGAGGAAGAACCACAGATGTGATTTAAGAAAAAAGGAGATTTTAGAGGGCATCATGGGACGTGGTCAAGCACACCAGGGAAACGTGACAAGTCTACATCCCTGAAACTATCTACGTAAATCCATATTCATAATCATAATTCCTATTGCCAAACCTAACTTTCCCTATTCCAATAGGAGAAGGCTTTTCAATGTCAAAGTAACTTCACATGCAGAGAACAGCACAAGAGCTACACTTGTGAAATTCTACAATTTTTTTTCTCACATCTTACCTGATCGGCTGTGAGAGCTCATTGCTGTGGTTGTTGTTGCCGGGCAGACTTGACAGGTGAGGAGAGGTGAGTGGTGAGGGTGTCAGTGCACCTCCGTGGAGGCTGTAGTGACCACCATGTGTTTCCCAGCCAAGATGGTGGTGGTGCCAGGCCAAGGGGGGACAGAGAGCGGTTGTTTCTTAAGGCTTCATCCCACTGAACCACAGGTGGAGAGCTCAGCGGTGTGTTGTGGCAGGATTCCTTCCAGTCAGGCTGTAAAAGCTGCAACAAAAAAATGTTTTTATATGCATGGGAAACTCATATGATAGAAGCTCATATATCAATCTCAAATCCTCCGAATCAGAATACTTCATTTATCCCTGCCCAGTGGCTGCCCAATGGATTTCACTGTGTGTGCAGTGCAGTGCTGTGTAAGTGTGTGACAATTTGATTGAAATTTCCCATTTCCATCTGTTGAAACTAAATTAACTATATTCTACAGTGAGTGATGTTATACTATTGTTAATTAGGTACTAAGTGTGGCATGGCAACAAACACAGTTGAATAAACTTCCCAAGAGTTTGAAGCTAAGTCACAAAATCTTGTCCTCAACAGCTTGCATGGTCAGCTGTGAAAGTCAGTGTCTTATTAAAAGGCTCTTCCGTGAAGATGAAATGCAAACAGAGGCTTTCTGAAGGCTGAGATTTACCTCAGAGACGATTGCAGAAGAAAACTTTTCATACTGTCTGGCGTGTTTGTGTGTTATGCAATCAAAAATGCAAGGAGTGTAAACACACACAGGGAAGCCTCTGGCTATTCAATCCTAACCAGCAGAAGCCAAAACTCACCTCTGTCACTTCTGACAGGTGTCAACAGAGCTGAACACAAACAAGAGCTGCAATCAGCCACTAGAAATACACAGGGACCACAATAAAGTGCATGTTTTCCCATTTCATAGCAATCCTAAATATAAATACACATAGTCTCTTCTCTCTTGGCTGTCACGGCAACGTTAAAGCTGTTGAAATGAATTACTGGTAAACGAATGAGTTCAATGGAAAATAGCAATGTATAGCCAAAGAAAATGTCACTGCAAGAATTCTCCAAGGTCTAACTTCTACTTCCAACATCTTACTAATCAGGTCATCAAAAACGGTCCAAAAGTGAATGGCATATTTAACAGAGGAGCAGCTTATATTAGTCATCATTAGCGCTGGGGCTGCGTGATGTGGAAAAATTACAAGTTCATATATACAGATATTGCAATTGCGACATGATTTGCGATATTGGAGGGAATGATAATTGTTTTAACATTGTTCACATTATTATAAAAAAAGAATAAAATGATCCTGGTGTGTTTTTTATGTGGATCTTACCAAACAAGTGTGTAGAATATCATTTTTTGGCTTGCCTTGCACCACATGACATCATTCAGGAAAATATTTTCAAATATTTTGCCGATACCACTGGTTTGGAAATTGCACTAATCCATAACATTCAGATTAATTATACAACAGAAATTAGCGTTAAATTAGTATTAAGATATTTTTTATGTTTTATTCTAGTGCAAAAGCAGCAGAAAACAAACATTGGTGTGTTGCAGGGACACTACGCTTCGGAATTCAAACATGCAGTTAATACCTTCATGAATGGGGGGGAATACTCAAAAAAAGGTTTGCTGAGGCATGAGGTGTTGCCGCGAGGTGTGCTACTCTCAGATTCCAGCCGGCTTTTTGTGTCAAACTAGTTGTCTGTCATAAGTATTCAAATGTGCTTGTACAGCTTGTCATACATTGTCAGCAATAACCTCAGGCCTTTAGTCATCTCACGGTGTCTGTTTGCCAAAAACTAACAAACAACTATAAGAGAAAAGTGCACCGTTTCTGACACTGCTCAGCTGTCAGATGCAGTTTTTTCCTATTGAAAATGTATTTGTGAACCACATTAGGGCTGAACGATTAATCGATTTTAAATCAAAATCGCGATTTGAAATGATGCAATTAAATCGCAAAGCCTGCGATTTCTTTTTTTTTTAAAAATGTTGTTACTTGTGTGTCAGTCATCCACACCAATCAGAAGTGCTGTGCTCCACATGTACCAGCCATTGTTAACCAATCAGAAGTGGCCCATGATAGAAGGTGATAGATTGATCCAATCACCTGCCAAGTATTTTTGAAAGTGCCTGCCCTTTCCAAATGGCTTCCAATGGAGCTTTCCTAGATGGTTTGGTGAAACAAAACCACCTGAGTCAGGTTAGTAATGCTCCATCACATGTTTTACATCTATTACAGGGTGAATCTTAAACTGAAGCTTGACTTTAAAGCAACCTAACGGAAGTTTCATGTAAGTTTAGTTCTTTCACTCGTAGCTCGAGCTAGAGCTAGAGCACCCCCGCACGTTGATACATTGATACGATCTTCCTAGCCGGAGATATGGCCGCATTTTACAATAAACTTTCGTTGGGTCGCTTAAAAACAAAATCGCAAATCGAATCGCAATCGCAATATCTGTCAGAAAAATCGCAATTAGATTATTTCCCCAAATTGTGCAGCCCTAAACCACATTACCGGTATTTTGACTGCAAATTAAGTCAGCATTATACATGGTGGTGATGAGGACAGGCACTTCCTTATCAATACAACACTGTATATACTGTAATATTCATGGTATATATAACTTCTTATGATAATATAAATATTTGTTTTCAATGTAACTGTTCTATTGTTTTAATTATTTGTGTATTTTTTATTCAAATTCTTTTCATTCTAAAATGGGGCGACGAATGGAGCAAAATTCTCAACTGTGTTTTTACAGCTTGTCAAACAATGTTAGCAATAACTTCAGGCCTTTAACCTCACTGTCTCTGGCAGAAATAAACAAACTAAAAGAAAAAAGTGCCTTTCTGAAACTATCAACCTGCAGTTTGTGGCACTAACTGTCAGCTGTCAGATGCTCTTTTTTAATTTTTATTCCGTATGATTTCCCTTTTCTAACCGTAGCAGCAATCCTATTAAAAATTAATCTCTAAACAATATTGCATGTATATTACTGCTGGGTACCATAAAACACACCACCTGCATCTCTCGGTGCGTCTTATTCCACCAACTGACACTTAAGATTGGATGAGATTTATCGTGCTCCTGCAGCAGAGATTCTGAACCTGGAAACGTTAAATGGCGCTTGACAGGAAAACAGCTCTCAGGACTCGTTAATGGACTTCATTTCCCAAGCACTCCGAGCGCTGCCGGGAGTAATCACGACGGCATAAAAATAACATGTGGTCGGGCAGCGAGCAGTAAACAACAATTAAGAGACCCCTTGCGTAGCTCTAGAAATGAATCATTGAAAATGCACTTGTGCCGCGAAGACAGCTTCAGCCTCTCAGCTCTAATTGACTCTGAATAATTCAGATGGAGCGGGATAAGCAGCAGCGACTGTATGCAATGGATTGACATGTGCCAGATTTTTCTTTTCTTATTGTAAAAATTGTTGAGAAGTAAAATCTTAAACTGTTATTTAACTCTTAGTTTTTGTTTTTTTGTATGATGATATAATTTGTAACTTTATTAAATTATATATACATATTTGGGCAGTTGTTTGGGAGCTTTATTCTTATAAGTATCTTTAAATTGAGCTATATTAGCATGTTAAAAAAAGAAAATCGACTAGATTCGGTAGGAACTTAAAATCATTGCCTGTCAATGCAGACAGCACAGGAATGAAATATGGTGATCTTAACCATCGCTGGTACAAAGCGTCAAACTGAACCCGTCTTCCTTTAGTAGTCAGTGTAACACTGGTGACACGAGAGTAAACATGGGTAAGTAGGAGAAGCATGTGAGAGGGGAGAGAAGACAAAGTGATTTCCTATCGGCAGTAACACAACACTCTCTGCTGCGTGTTCATGTTCGTGACCGCAGGACATCACATCAATCAGCTGTTGGCTGAATGGGGACAAGACGAGGAGCGCGTGCATGGAGCGGCACAAGGGGGATCATTTCTCTTGTTACGGAGCGCTGACAGCCCGGGCACAGCTCGAGGATGGTTGTGTAACACAGCAGCATCCACCTGTAGCCCTGACTCTGCTATCACCACCCCCAAACCTGTCTGAACCAATCTGCTGTGTTCTCACTTGAATAAAGCAAATGAGGTAAGCATTTCGTTTTTGATGAGAGAGCGGTCGCACTTCTTTGATAACCATCACTTGAGTTGTGCAAGAATGCAAAAAGAATCTTCCAAATACGGACAAAGCTGTAAATATTGTAATATACAGGTTATGTAAGTGAAGTACAATGTGCTCATTTGTACTTTCTATATTTCTATAAATAAATATCTATTTATTTTTAATTGTTTCTATTCAAAAATGTTACTTTAACTTCATACGTTTAAATAGCTTTACTTTATCTGATCTTTTTATTGCATATTTTTTCTTTCACGAAACCCAATTTTCCCGGGATAAATAAAGTGTTCTGAAATTGATTCTGTAATACAGAGCTTTGTTGGATGATTGTTTTGCATTTCAAAGCTTTGGAACAACATTCCTGTATGCTACAAAATAATGTTCCCATAAAACTAAACTGCATTCATAATTATGTTTCGAGAGGCGATTGTATTTATCTCGGATAACATCACTAGCCCTTGGTTAATGTTGTAAATTGATACAAAATCAAACAGACAAGCACGAAAACTACGTGGTAATGTTAAGTAGGGCTGCACGATTTGGGGAAATAATCTAATTGCGATTTTTCTGACAAATATTGCGATTGCGATTCGATTTGCGATATTTGTTTTTAAGCGACCCAACGGAAGTTTATTGTAAAATGCGGCCATATCTCCGGCTAGGAAGGTCGTATCAACGTGCTCCCGTCTCTAGCACCCCCGCAGCCAGAGCTACGAGTAAAAGAACTAAACTTACATGAAACTTCCGTTGGGTTGCTTTAAAGTCAAGCTTCAGTTTAAGATTCACCCTGTAATAGATGTAAAACATGTGATGGAGCATTACTAACCTGACTCAGATCGTGTGTTTCACCAAACCATCTAGGAAAGCTCCAAGCACTGTTGGAGAAGCCTGTGACCTAAGATTTTCATCGACATAACTACTCTGTAGCTATGTTCGTATGACAAATAAAGAACCTTGAACCTTGACATTTCGAAAAGGGCAGGCACTTTCAAAAATACTTGGCAGGTGATTGGATCAATCTGTCAATCACCTTCTATCACACAGCACTTCCGATTGGTGTGGATGACTGGCACACAAGAAAAAAAAGAAAAAAGAAATCGCA